TGGACCAGATTGAAGAATCAAGTAGGTATTCCAAGCATCGGAATCTCGACAAAGTGAGGATATAGTCGTCCTGCCACGGGTAAATGTCAAATACAAATGCGCCGGAAGATCCTGATACCCACAATCGTATAGTTTTCATTTTCGGCATCATCGCGCGTGGGGATTCCGAACTTGGGGATTTCCAGACGTGTGAGTTGCGGCAAGCGCTCTGCCAAGTTGTTGATGGACTCTAGCCCGGAATATCTCCAAATCCCAATATCTCGCAACTGACTTGTGTCAATGGCATCTAGAATCGTCAATGTCGATTCAGCGAGCGACAACTGTGAAACGCATTCCACTGCGCGGTTCGGCAAGGTCGGGTCGGCCAAGACGGAGCATGCGACCTCGGAATTGGTGAAGAGGTTTTTCAGGTTCGGCAAACTGCCATGACGAAGTCGCAGCATGTCGTTGTGCGGATACCAGCGAAGGTCTTCGATGGTGGGGTGCTTTTGCAAAAAGTCGATAATTTCATTTCCACTTCTGCTGGGGGTCGAGTGCAAATTCAGTCTACGTAACTGCGGGAAGCGGCAGGACTTGAAAATAGGAAATTCCTCGTTCGGAACACAGATGTCCAGAGTCTGCTCGCGTCAGCAGCTGTCTCAACACCAGAGAAATACGCCTACCTGCAAGTTCGGAGACCGCAGAAGTAAGGAGTTCAACCCTCGCGGCCACCACCCCGAATGCCTGATGAGCAATGATTCCAGGTTCGCAATATGCCACAACTGAGTCAATGAGTATGGGCAACGGGAAACAAAAGCGTTAAACAAACCGGATATTCTTCCTCTTCCAATGGCGTAGTAAGAGTAGCCGCCACTTCACGACTCTCGAATCGGACGAGCGACTTGGAGTCTTTCAGCGCGTGGAATATGCCGGTATGATAGTATGGGAGGTCAACATACGGGCCCACACTCCAGGCCTCGATCCGAATGAATGACCGTAAAGACTCCATCGCTCGGAGAGCCAGGCAAATATTGGCAACAACGGTTTCCGGCACATCTAATTGCGAGGCTGCCGCATCCACCCAAGTTACAGGATACCGCTCAGGCTTCGAGTAGCTTTCCATCGACGGAGAGCCTCTGATTGTTACATGTCGGATGTTCCGCGCAAGGTCCGGGCGTTGCGCAAGATGCGCCCAAACTTCAGGCCTGTCTCCAACCCGCAGTGTCCGGTATTCCGTATGTCGGGGTATGACAAGCTCTTTGCACACAGTTGAGGCAGCAGCAAAAGAAACCAAATCCTGACGGGACTCGACGCGACAAAGAATCGGCTCGAGGACATCGAATGGGAGATGGGTGAGCGGAAAGATCGCCATCCTTGTGGGCGTTGCAGTCAAGTTTCTGGCGCGCAGCCTTGGCTGTGCATGTTTCGGTTCGCGCGGGTTTGATTCGAATCAGTTGTTTGCCGATTCTTCAGACCAAGTCCATATCACGCCGCCAGTATATCCAGTAGATGACAGAGCTAAGTCACTAGGCAGTATCGGAGGTTGTGTTAAGTTTGAAAGCTTTCTCAAGTCGGAGAAGAAAATGTCGGCCGAACTCGCAGTCGTTCGGGATTAAGTATGTGGCAGCGAACTGACCCCGCCGAACGGTTCACAATTAGTTTCTGTTGCTGACTCTGGCGTCACAGGATCCATGGCCAGCCGATTGCTAACCGTAGATTCGTCAATTTCAATGCCTTTTGACGATGAACAAACAGGACGCTGTCAGTGAGGAGCAAACCGCAAGTCGGGTGATTGGTCGCATGTGGTCCTAGTCTCCGCTCGTCTATTGGCTTTCTGAATCCCGATCTCCGACTGTTCTTTACAACCACTTGACGTATGTGTTACCGCGGTTTTGAAAGATTATCACTTGTTAAGAATAGCTGCGATGCTGATTTTCACCTAAAACAGAAATCCCGCTCTCACCCGAACGAACGACTGCGACTGGGGATTTGTCTTGACATGAACTGCGACGCCGAGATGGCCTTTTAGTTGTTAGAGCGGCTCAATTGACAGCTGTAGGACCCGTCTGGGCCTATCGCGGAGCTCGACTTGGGGTATCTTTCTCAACAACAACTTCTTCGAAGTATTCAGATGGTGCTCTCAACTCAACACGACCCTGCTGGACCTGATATAATGGTGATATGGATCGAATAGAATCGCATTATGTCTGGCTGCGCCTGGCGACCTGGGTCATCCATAAATCAGCCGTGGGGCCTTTGACATCCCTCGCTGTAAATCTCACCGTTCCTGAGCTGTACTAATCAAGTAGCCTACTCTGCCAGTACCACCTCCACGGTCAACCCATGGTCGCTGACGAGCCCACGCCGGACTTTCGGCCTTTCTTGTCCATCTCTCGTCATTTCTCTGAATTCAATTCATCAATTTGGAGTTTAAAGTTTCCATAGCTTCCGACCGGCATGATACCGCTCTCAGGCATTGTCACACCGGGTTCGCACATTGGTAAGTGGAAACACAGTGTTCTCAATCAAACGGACCATAATGATAGTATTTTCGCAATTAAAGTGAAGGCGTATAAATTCACTGATGTACAACGGTTTTCCATCTCTCCTTGCCCATGTCTGAAGCCTTCGAAGTGCGTACGACGGTAGGCGCCGCCTTCGCGGGGTGCATGTTGGCTGTTGCGTATGTATCGTCCCCTCCCCTTCAGCTTGATTGTGATGTTTGTTGCAGCCTCTCTGCCATATTGGGCTTCCAGACTTTTCTCTATTTCCAGATATTCCCCGGTGACGCCTCACGGTACAAGGCCTTGGTGAATCTTACAAAATCTCGGCGTGCTGCATGTTGAAGCTTTATTTGGCCAGGTCGGATGGATTTGGGTGCTAGACGCGGCGCACACGATCACTATCTGCGCCTCTGTGTGGTCCTACGCAGTCGCACATTACGGGGAAATCGATTATACGAAGCAAATTGTCCCGTATGTATCTCCCTCTGGCGTTGCGCCTAGCTTTGATATATTTTTCGTCTAGATCGCTCGCGGTAAAGCTGTCCTAAATCTATTGGCGTGCAAGTGTGCCAATTGTTATTCGTAGGCTACAGTTGCATTCACTGCGATCACAACCCTCAGCGTCAACATGTATGTCTTTACATCCGCCTGGTTTTCAAAGCGTCTGAGGCCTCCCGCTCGCAGCTTTTACGGATGGAGAGTACACAAGAGTGCGTTGCCTTGAAAACTACCTTTAACATTTCTAAATTCCGTGACGACAGTGAGCAAGAACTGGTGGCTGACAGGGCCGATCATGCTACTGGCCTTGGCGCGCGTAGGTATGTGAGTCGTACTGAGGTACGGCGTGCTCTTATAGTCTGCGCCGTGGCTAGGACTTGCATTCGGTGCGTCTTGAATTCCGAAAACTCACTGCATAGTATGCTAATTCTTGTTATTCAGTCACAACCACCGAAATGTCCGTCCGTCCATTGTCTCAGAAACATTTTACTGAATTGCGCGGCAATTGCAGGATTCTGACCAAGACGTTCCCGGCCTTTGCTGCGGGATTTAATGTGGGTCTGCTTTTCCCGCCACGCTGACCTCAAAATAATACTCCATGCAGGTTGTACTCACTTGCGGGTTGTCTGTGTCTGCGGCCACGGACATTATTTTATCCACTGCGCGATATTACTATCTGCGCAACCTCAAACAGGGGTACAGCGGGTGCGTGAATACAAGACCACAGTGTCCTGTCTTGTTGAAGTCTGTGCCACAGTACGCAGGAGGTCATTGACGCAGTGGTTGTCTTTACGATCAACGATGGGTGCATCACTTGTCTGTCCCTTTCTGCTTTTCCGCTTCATGGTTTTTATTTCTGGTTCAGGCGCCGTTGCCATTGCTACTATCATATGCGTACGCCACATCTTCCTGTATTTTTTCTGTTTTTAACTGTGTTCGCACTCGCAGCTACTCCGCATGCCAGGCAATTTTGTGTGGCTCGGGATATACTTTACCATCGGCAAATTATTTTCTAATTCGGCCCTCGCTACGTACGTGCTCTGATCACACACAATCCGTCTTGGGTTTATGAGAGAAAAAATCACACACAGACTGAACTTGCGCAACTGGTACCGCCACCGCCCACAGCGGCCGATGGGTATCCAGATGACGCGCGCGCAGGCCCTTGCAACACACACGACTAACAGTGGGCCAACGGCGATCGACAAGCGTGCGGCGGACGCACAGCGCATGGAGGTCTTTGTGGACCAGCAGGTTGAATATAATGTCGCGGTCGGCGGCTTTATGCATGAGGATGACAATTTAAGTGCTCACTCGAGAAAGTCGGTGAACGTAGTTTAACGGTACACCCGGGTATGGCACAGTGACTGTCCATATATCAGCGTGTGCGTGTTGTGTACCTTGCTGGCCAACCTATCGCCATATCACGATTTCTTTTATACTTCATGAACAGAGGAAATAAACAAGTTACTCCTCGGGTGGGGATTCTGTCAGCGTCCGCACCGTGTCCAAATTCAAGGTTAAGGTTTTACGGTTTTATGATATATATGTAAGTATTGGTCGTTGGGGCCTCTCGCAGTTTCCCTTACGCTCGTGTGGGATCTATATTCTGCGGCAGTCGTACTATCAGTAACCCGGAAGTAAATAGGCCGTGTCCATAACAGGAATAATCATTTCTTTGTTCCGTGTGCAACTACGAATTTGGCTTTTATGGTCCTGTGGCATATATTTAGCATCTCATCTCTACCTTCGCTCCGCGGCGTCGTGGAATTCATATTTGTGCGGGCCTGCGGCCAGGGCCATGGTAAGTTACCACTGTGGCTGTGCCACAATCTGAAACAATCACTTTTCGATTTTTTGCGCTAATGAGGGTTCTTGTAGAAGCATCGGCGTCGGACCCCGGTTGAATTTGAATCTCTTCCCTGTACTGCACTGCGTTACGTTTTATAACAATCTCGATAATTTCTTTTTTGGAAATTGGTCTTCGCTAAATAGGTTACTTGTTAATCGACAAATAACTGCCCCCTGGCCCAGTTGGTTAAGGCGCACGACTGTTACAGTGCACATCGTGAGATCGAGAGTTCGAGCCTCTCGGGGGCAGTTCTTTTGCAACCTTTTTGCATGCGGAACTTTCCCAGAAGTGATCTTTGACTTGTGTTCAAACGTTCAAACCCAAAAGAACGCCCAATAAAATTTACTTTGAATTTCTTGTTCGGGGTCGTTTGTCTGCGGAAGATCATGAGTTCGAGTCTCAGAGGCGGTGGTTTTTACAACCTTTATGCACGCAGAACCTCCTCAGGACCCTCACGTCTTTTTTTCCATTTTCTTTTCATTCGCGTTCCGACTCAAAAAAACCAAGTGAAATTTACTTAGAAATTCGTTGGTTTCGTCTTGTGGCTCGGGTTCGATCCCCGCGGATGGAGATTTATCGTTTCGTGCACGGAGACCTTTTCGTAGGTGCGTTGTGCGCCTTAGCGCCTAGTGCCTTTTCTTTTTTGTTTTAATATAACAGTGCAACGATTCAAAAGCATTCTTCTGTCTGTCCTTGATGGAAACTCTGCAGACACTTGGGCGCGGACATTCCGTAACTGAGTCTGCCGATGCGTTTCAGGTTTAAAAAAATATTGATGGTTGGGAAGTAACCGGGGACCCATATCCATAAAGGGAAATTGTGGTTCGTCGCTTACGCGCTTACGTAGGACCCGATCAAAAAAAACTTTTCTGCATTTTCACCATAGAATGACGTCGCTGTCACCAAACGCCGTCCGATGTCTTCCCTGAGGGCGGCAGTCAATTCAAGAGTCAGAGCCAAGCAAGCCCCAAAAATACGCTGACTTGGTAGAGCGCGTATGTCAGGCTTTCGGTACTTATACAGAGCAAACGAACAAAAATGTATGGTGCATGTGCACCGCCATGCAACCACGGCAGAAAAAGAAAGTACTGCTTGAGGTTCCATTGAAATAGAACTTGGTCCTGAGCCGAAACTTCCTAAAGCTTTAAAACAGTAGGACTTCTGGGTAAATAGAGAAAATAAGGGCGCTGAAGGCAGCAGGTGAGCCGAGCTGAGCAGAACGAGGACGGAGTTCTTTCAGGAAAGTGGGACCGTTGCAATGGATATCACATCAATTAGATAGCCGGACCCACGGCCTTGGCGCAAGGTCCCGCTTAAGTCGGAGGTCTTTGGAAAGCTGGGAGAGTGCGCGTGGGCGTCCATTTTTTACTGGTGAACAACAGTAGAAGGAATTTATTATTTCTTTGCTGGCAAAGTTGTCACTGTGGCGAAGAAAATGCAGCAGACAAGTGACGGAATCTGTCGCGGTTAAAATCGGGCCGGAACTACGTTCCGGCGGCGCCATGCGGAGCTGTCCTTTGATGCCGGGTTTTTCAATTGAAGACCTGCTGTCCTTGAAGACCCTTACAACTTCTGAGTAACTGCAAGATTGATTTTCGTCTAGGGCCATTGCAGCAACGACGCGACCCTGCGGCTGGCGACGCCGAGATGTCCGTAAGTCGTTACCGCGGCTCCAGTTGGTAGCGGCCTCTGGCACACGCCGCGTGCGACGGTAATTCTACTACATAGGGAATGTCTCTGACCTTCTTTCATGGCGGCCTCTCGTTATTTCGCTTCGTTCAATCAATTCATCCGGACTTTAAAGTTTCCATGCCTTCCAACCAGTGATGCTGCTCTGCTTCCAGTCTTCTCAATCAAATCTGAACATGGTAATGATGGTCGTGTTTCCCCCCGCCGATAAATTCACGAGTGTACGAGAATTTTTCCTTTTCCTTTTCCCCATGTCTGAAGCCGAAGTTCGTTCCACGGTGGGCGCCGCTTTCGCCGGGTGCTTGGTGGCTGTTGCGTATGTATGCGCCCCTTCCTTTCAGTTCAAAACTCATGTATTTGTCGTAGCCTCTCCGCCATCTTAGGCTTTCAGACCTTTCTTTATTTCCAAATATTCCCTGGCGATTCCCTACGGTACAAGGCCTTGGTGGGTATCGAGTCCTGAATGCTGCGAGTTGGCCATTTATTTTGTATTTCTACAGGTCGGATGGATCTGGTACAGTTGTCTAGCTGATGTCGGGGCCACGGCTGACCGTTCGTAGGATCCTAGACGCGGCGCACACCGTGACCATCTGCACCTCCGTTTGGTCATACACGATCACTCATTTCGGGCATCCTGATTATACAGAGCAAATTGTCCCGTACGTATGCCTGCCTCTGGCATTGCATCGAGTTTTAACCATGATTTTTATCTAGGACACTTGCGGTAAGACCTCTTAAATCAATTGGAGTTCAAGCAAGTGTGCTAAGGATCCTTTCAAGGTCACTGTCGCACTCACCGCGATTACCACCCTGAGCGTCAATATGTGGGTTGTTCCCTGTTTTAAAAAAAAAAAAGTGTAGTAGCTAAACGCTAACGCTGGCTGGCAGTTTCTATGGGTGGAGAATACACAGAAGTGCGTTGTTGTAAACCTCTTGTTTTTTGAGCTTTCTGACTTTGACAACAGTGAGCAAGTCAAACTGGTGGCTCACAGGGCCAATCGTGATGCTTGCCACTGCCCGCGTAGGGATGGCATTCGGTGTGTCAATGAATTCTCAGTCGATGCACTACTCGTCATGCTGATTTTTATTATTTCCAGTCACAACTATCGAAATGTTAGTGCGGCTTCCTCCCACTTACCCCGTCCTGACCAGCCTGTCATCTGTGAAGCAACATCATACTGACATGCACGACAACCACAGGATTCTGACCAAGACGTTCCCGGCATTCACCGCTGGATTCAATGTGAGTCTGCGCACTTCTTCCCGTCGTACTGCCCGCTAACATCGTGTCATAGATAGTTCTCATCTGTGGATTGTCTGTGTCTGCGGCCACCGACATATTGATATCCATCACGCGGTATTTGTTTCTGCGCGATCTCAACCAGGGGTACAGCGGGTAAGTGGATACGAAATCATAGAGGTCTGTGTTGAAGCTGGCGGTGCAGTACACAAGAGGTCGTCGACGCCGTCGTGGTCTTTACGATCAACGACGGGGCCATCACCTGTTCGTCCTTCTTACCTTTCCCCTTCGATGGTCACAGATTTATTTCTCATTATAGGTGCTGTTGCCATCGCCGCTATCATATGCGTACGCAGTTCCTCATTGTCTTTCTTTTATGTGTTAACCGTGCTCTCGTCGGTAGCTACTCCGCATGCCTGATAATTTTATATGGCTCGGCGTATACTTTTCCATCGCCAAGTTATTCTCCAACTCGGTACTAGCTACGTACGTTGCCTCTCGTTCTCCACTGACGGTGTTGGTCTTGATTCATACATGCATAGGCTGAACCTGCGCAATTGGTACCGCCACCGCCCGCGGCCCATGGGCATCCAGATGTTGCCCCCGGCGCACGCGATCAGCGGCGTACCGTCTGTGGGGAGTGATAAGCTTACGGCGGATGAACAACATATGGAGGTCTTTGTTGACCAGCAGGTCGAGTACAACGTCGCGGTTGGCCGAGGCTTTAGGCGGGAAGACAACAACACAAAGTCAAACGCCGTCGTTTAATTTTTGTCCGTTTCAACGTATTACTGTATAGCGTTATATTTTTAGGTTTCACTTGGTTGGGCATGCAGGAAATATAGGAAATCTACCCCGCGGGATCCGTCTGTGTTGCGGAATAGACATACGGGATTACGATCGTAGCTGGTCGTACATATGCATTGCGTGTGCACACCGTACCTACAATGGGAATCAGCGTGGCCGAGAATAATTGAGTTCTTGTGCACATGCGACATTCCTTGGGACTCAATTAAGCTCCGACCTCGTACCTTGTCCAACGATCCATCTTTTAGATCGGATTTGTGTTTTTTAGCTCGTTCCCGGCCTATTTCCCTGTAGCATTCAGATCTCCCGTATAATCAGCACTTTCCCGTCTTCTAAGCTTGGTCCGTGAGAGGTTAATTGCTTCGTTGGGAGTACTATAATTATTCACAGCGGGGGGGCCGTTGACGTCTGTAGCATACAATCATGGATGCGTTGTATGTCGGTACAGCACCTGCTTGTTCCTAAATGGGACCGCGGTAGTAATACATCCTTCCTTCCTTCCACCGTGGCAACGGTGTCGAATTCCATCCATGTACAGAGATTTTAGTGTAAATATTTAGCCACAGGCGTCCATCGTACTTAGTAATGCAAGAGAATCAACCCCTATCCATAAACGGCCATGATGGTTTATTTTGGCCGCTTCCCGACTGCCGCTGTCAGAATTTTTTCTTCGTGACTCTCATGTCGGTCAACGTTGTTGGTGAGCGCCCTTCTATTTGTTTTCTCTTTCATTTGTATGTGATGAAACGCACTGGGCTCTGAGGAATACCTCGATGTAATGCAATACGCTCACTGAGCGGCGGCCTAGAAAACCGTTAACTGAACCTTTCCTTCCTTTTTTTCGCCTTTCTTTCGAAGTTATTCACTGTGCCATTTTCTCCTGTAGATGCCCCGTCTGACACGCTCGACGCGGCAGGATTTCGTACCTTAATGGACGACATGACCGCCAGCCTCGCAGCCGCACGATCCGCCCTTACTGCGCTACACAACAACGCAGAACTAACCACCCCAAATCCCAACGGCATCTCCCTCCTCGCGCTCAAGCCCCAGCTCCTTTTATCGTACATGCAGTCCCTCGTCCTCCTCGCTGCACACCGCGCCCTGGGCCATACCCTCACCGAGCGCTCCCCCCCGTCGCGGCCTTTCAGCGACCCACAACAGGGCGCACGGGGCGCAGACGCCGGGGACTTGGTCGATGGTCTAGTCGCCGGGCGCGTCGTGCTCGAGAAGGTGCGGATGCTCGAGGGGCGGATGCGTTACCAGATCGAGAAACTCGTGCGCGCCGCGCAGGCGCCAGAGTCCGCCCCGGGCGCAGCCGTCGACGACCCGCTCGCGTTCCGGCCTAACCCCGCGAACCTGCTCAATCAGGACGGCGAGGCGTCCGAGGTGTCTGACAATGACAATGACAACAGCCGGGGAGGCGGGGATGATGACGGAATCTACCGTCCCCCGCGCCTGGCGCCGGTCCCGTATACCGCCCTGCCGACCAAGGGAGGCAAGAAACTACGCGCGC